CACACACACACACAAACCAACATCAATTAGAAAAATCAGCAACAACCCCCCCAAAAAAAATAAAAATAAAAATAAATAAAAACCAAAATACCCCTTATACAGGCAAACCAAAACTGTTTCTACTCTTTATCTAAAAATAACGTACCCTTGTTCACAAGCTTCTAAAGTATGTCCAGCAGACGACGACCCTTCTGTAGAGCCAGTGGTATTCATCAGCGGCGTGTCACTTTTGGCCGGGTCTGACGTCACACGTACCCTTTTTGGCACGGTCAGTTCTGGGAACCCGTCCGAGGAGGTGTCTTGTAAGGTAGCACTGCTTATAGGCAGCTGTACTTCAGGCTCACAAACCTCGACTGTTTTATCTTCCGAGGTTTCACTGATCTCCTGAAAAAGGTTTTAAAAGATAATAAAACAAACTTTTGAGAGTACAGAAGATCATCGTTTTTGTTTTAGTAAACGTTTTACAGCTTCTGAAGTACAATTCGGTCTTATGAGTGCCGGATATTAGAGGTGTTACAAGAGAGTAACAAACTCAGAAAAGAGGAAGAGATAATGATGATAGATTAAAAAATAATGCTTCTGCAACATACCCCTTGGTCAACTTTTAAGACTGCCCATCCGTGACTAGTGTTTAGAAGCGCCTTTTACTATTTCACACTGAGTCTTGATAGTATTGGTTTTCAAAGAACGACGTAAAATCGAGTCGTTGGCGGTATAAATCGCTGACAGTAATAAACATAAAGGATTGGGATCCCTCACCTCAGGTCCCGAGATATCTCCAAACAGCGAGGCCAGGTTGTACGTTTTGCAGGATTTCCGGTGCGCGCGTTTCCTTTTTTTGCTGACGGCTCTCTGCTTGTGGACATACTGCTCTCTGATGGCCTTCAGCTCTTCTCCGGGGAGCAGAATATTTCCTCCTTGACCTTTGCGCTTTCTGTTCACGTTTTCACTGCCACAGGAATTCGGAATTCCTCGCCGCTCCATCGACGACTGTTCGGCTAATTTCACAGAAATATTCTTCTTCTCTTTTTGGGCTTTCTTTGAGTGTAACTCCACGGTTGTGTCCAGATGACAAACAGGTTTCACGGGTACAGGAGGCGGCAACTGTGCAGATTTCTCCGTCTCCTGCGGGAGCTGCTCCCCATGCGTTGATACCACTTTTTTCTTTTTGTCATTCAGCTTTTTCATGATCATCTCTTGTGACGCTAACTGACTAGCTTCTTGAGATTCATGCAAAACAGCGCATTTCTTCTCAGTGGCGTTGCTTGACTCTAGGATTGAAACAGGTGTAGGGGTGGCCTGTCCATCGACCAAAGTACCAGATTTTGCTGTACCGGCCAATATTTCGGTGACGTCAACGTAATCAGTTGTTGCGCTCTTTTTACTCTTCTTGGATTTTTTCTTTTTAGGATTCGTTTGTTTGTCCTCAAAGACATGCTCTAAGTCAAAGCCGGAGCTAAATTCTGGCACATCGTTGGAGTGGCACCCTGTGTCCCCTTCATCTTCGTACATCACTTCAATTAGACTCTTCTTCGCCTTCTGTTTCTTCATTTTCTTCTTGTCCGATTTGCTTCTGTTCTTTCGTTCTGCTTGAATTAAACGACCTTTCTTCTGGTCCACTTTTTGATCCAATTCTTTCAACTCCTGAGGTTCTTGGATTGGCGTTCTACGAGAACATTTTGATATAGGGGATGGCGTTTTATTTGGATTATTTGCTACAGGGGATGTTGTTCTTGGAGAAATATTAGATACAGATGATTGTTTGCAAACGTTATCGTCAAGCTGTTGTGGTGTACCGTCTCTTATCGCGAGAGAAATCTTGGGTGGTGTCGTTATTTCAGAAGTCTTAGCCACCTCAGCGTTTTTCAGGTTCCCTTTCTTCTTTTTCTTTTTGGATTTAACTGTAGTATTTGAAGTGGAGCTGATGCTTTTTATAGACGACATAGATACGTCCTCCAGACTTTTCTCGGGCATTTCTTCTAGTCCGTATTCCTCGTTATGGGCGTTCCCGTCACCGGTGATGACAAAACCCTCGGACGAGGAAGAGCTGGTCCGCTCTAGAGGAGAGAACTGGTTCCTGCAGGCGACAACTACGGCTTCCTTTGAAGGGGAGGTGGACAGCACAACGATGTCGGACAGGTCCGAGCTACAAGAGTTGTCTTCCCTGAGCGTTCCGGCCGTGAGCTCCCACTCCTCGTCTGAAGACACTATCACCATAGACGGGGATGTGGCTGGAACACATGGGGAGAGAGTGTGATTTTTAAAATATATATATTTTTTTTAGTAGAGGCACTCGCAACTGCATAAGGTCATATGAGCGCCAGAAGATTAGAGGTGATACAAGAGAGTAACAAACACAAAAAAGAGAGAGGGGAGATAAGGACGATAGATGTTTTATAGGAAAGAATAAGCAAACCACATCAGAGCACCCGCCAACCACCCACATTTTAAAACTAAGATTTTACGGCACTTGTAGCACAAATAGGACTTACAAATGCCAAAGATTGGAGGTATAACTAGGGAGTATGTAAGATACCCCCCCCCCCCCTAAAAACCCCCACACACAACAAAAATAATGAAGAGAGATAAAGACTATAAATGTTTGATAGCAAAGAAGTAATCACACACGAGTACCCCCTTAACAGTCCAAAACAGAACAAAACGAAAGAATATTTAGTGCAGATTGCGTGGGAATGCATCGTTGTTGAAATGGTCAAATGGTAGAAAACAAAACTTTGCAGAAAAGAGAACAACTTGTTTCTACCTTTTAACTATAAGTTCCTACATAATGTGTTAGATTGTTCTTTCTTTCTTTATTCAAGAATTGTTTTTATTAAACTATTTAGAAATTAAATTCGAGAAATAATTCTTTAGGACAGACAACCGTTTCAAAACTGCAGTTAGAAGGCATAAAAAGTTTTTTTTTTTAAATTAGGCTTCGTGCATTGTTACATATTATGACCGATTGCATGTTCGTGGGCGGTACCAAAAAGCGTTTTGCCTTTTAAAAGTGACAAGTCTGGAGTTTTATTTTTTTAATAGTATAATATTCAGTTTTGAAAACTGTTCGAGAGCGCCAAAAACGACAACAACAACAACAACAACAACAACAACAACAACAACAACAACAACAACAACAACAACAAAACAACAACAACAACAAAACAACAACAACAACAACTAAACAACAACAACAACAAAACAACAACAACAACAACAACAACAAAATAACAACAGTCCTCCTTCCCCATAAGGCCACAATATTTTTCTGTAACGTGTTTTAAACTGCCAGGTGGAATCGATAACTCAGTTTCGTAAAAAAAACCCTGGATATACTGTCTTTTTTAAAACCCAACCCCAGAAATGCTGGCGCTAAGTGCCAAAAAGTTGGACAATCACTGAGTTAGACGGTGGGTCAGATTGCACCAACAGCAGAAATCACTTCGAAAGAAAAAACCTCATTTCCTGTTCCATCTCCCATCTGCTAACGAGCACTTAATCTGCCCTTGTGTAGCGCGAATAGAACGGTTTAAAAAAACATTAAAACAATAATTGTGTAATCTTCTAGCGTTCACTTTCCGCATTAGCTACGGTGAGGGAGTCGTTTAACTTTAAAATAGTGCAGAATCCTCCATATTATTATTTTGGTAAGACAATTATTGTGAAATTTCGGTATACGAGAATAAGAGGTCATTGTAAGGGAAAGGAAAGAAGGGCGTGCATAAAATACATAAATTTGAGGAAGGCTATGAGGAAAAATAACTAATTGTTTTAGTTGGTTTAGTTTTAGTAGTAAAAGTTTTACGGAACTAGCAACACTATAAGATCATATAAGTGCCGAAGATTAGAGGTGTTACAAGAGAGTCACACACAAAAAAAGGAGGAGGAGAGAGAAGGGTGATAGGAAAGAAGAAGGAAAAAAAACCCAGAGTACCCAACAACCACCCACACAAATTGTTTGAAAGCTCACACCAAATCCCCCTCTCCCAACCCCCCAATTTTTATATATTTTTAATTGACACATTTCATTCGTGCTTGGCGGCGGTTCGCCTCGGTTCTATTTGTCCTGGCCAGCCCTTGCTGATTAGCATATCACACACCATTGAAACGTCAACACGATAATCGACACAAAGCGTGGAAATCGAATTTTAAATGTCTGAAAACGGATGGGAGTGGTTTCCGCGCATTTTCTAGATTCGTTTCAAAGAGACAGATGGAATAATTTGGGTGAACGCATTATATCAAACAGATGGTTTGTAGGCGTTGCACAGTGACCCAGGGTGCAGTGACTTCAAGAGAAGTGTTTCTGTTAATTAAAAAAAACATTTTTGTGGGGTGGGGGGGGGGGGGGGGGG